TTAAGTTGTCAACTTTATCACGTCTTGTTTAATTTAAAATCTTTTCGTTAATTACAAAAGGGATAATGTCTTACCTTACACTATCAAGAGTAAGATATTTCGAGGGTTCATCGCGAGGAAATTTGCATATGCAAATAGTCGAGAAACTGTGCGCAATTAAACTTTCGCCACAATATTTCATTTTGTATGATATTTATTCAGCACAATTTGAGATCTTTGCAATTTTCAAATCTACATAATTAAGTAATTGGACATTTTTATACATCGCCGCGCTAAACAAAATTAAATATATTCCAATTAATATTGTTCTCAGGAATTCGTTGAATAGATGATCTCGATTTTCGCAAAGTTTCACCTCTAAGTTGAAGTCGTTAACGCTATTATAACTTTTATACAATACTTAAGTAACCGTGACATCTTTCTATAATTTTTTTAAGAGAGACCAAAATGTAATAAATAATTACGCTTCTCAAAAAAAGTATCTTAATAAAATAGTAATTTTAATTTAAAGTACATTTCGATAAACAATGTTCATTCAATATTAGAAATAAAAGCTCGGAAATTTATAAAAAAAGAGCACAATAATCTTTTAAAAAAAAAAAGTAAAAAAGAAACTCATAATCCGCGCAGAAATATTATAAAGTCTTTCGTCTAGATAACGAGCAATTTGCGATTAGATAATTTTAGTTATAGCTTATTATATATCCCTTGCATCCGGCGCGTTTCTTTATCTCTTCTCGTTCTTTTTTTTTTAATTTCTTATCTCAACGCCGCCTGTGGCGAACCGGGCGTCACGTGTATGTACCTCCTCGCGTTGCACAGAAATAACCATGGTAAAACTCACGAAGACGAAACGGAAAACGCCGGCGGGGAAACTTTCCCGCGAGAGAGAGAGATAACTTCAGCCGCGCGCGCTGGCCGGCTGAATATACATTTAAGTTTTGAAACACGCGAAAAGTAATTTCGAGCTTTCGAGCGTTGCCGCGATTCTGGACCACGCTGAGGGCGGAGGCTGGCCTGGCTGGCCCGCAGCGGGACGAATTACCGGCAGGTTAATTGTGAGGCGGTCAGAAGGGGGGAGTGGGAGGAAGAGAACACCGCGCTACTGATGTACCACAACCCTAAAATTGAATTATGTCAACCCAGCGTAAATATGCATGAGATGTCCCACCCGGCGCTTCCTGTGGACGCCGCTCCCGCTAAAAACTCTCGAACAGATGGAAATTTACGATTCGCGGGACGGTCGACAAGAAAAACCAGCACTGCAAAAACACGCATTATCCGCCGCAATTTAATCAGGAATATTCCTTTCCTCCGGATTTCCATTTCGGTGGCATGTTCTCATGACGACTTGTCATTTCTAATTAAACGGCTTTTAGAAAGAAGATCTGAGTTACCGTCGCGGGATTTTGAGTTAAAGGCGAGTCTCTGATCTTGTTCTCTTTCTCTCTTTTTGTCACGTCATATAAAAAGAAATGTTTTTAGTAGCAGAAATTTAATTAATGTAATTAATTCACGAAGTTAATCGTGATTGCTTTATTTCGTATGTGAATTGCTCCGTTTGAGAATAAAAATATAAGAGGCACTTTGAATCTTTTCAATATTTCACAATCTGCCTGCCTTTTTTCGAAATCTCGCCTCTTTTTAATCAACGAGTATATTGCAAAGTGGCTGAAATCAATCAATAAGGATTTATAAGTTGATCAGATAAAATCAATTCAATAATGATGCCAATCCGTTCGCAGTCTAACAATCGAAATCCGTTCGGATAAAAGAACGGTAGTAGTACACTTTCTGGTGATAGTACAGCACGAGATTCCCGTCGTTCTTTTTTGGCTTCGGATCAGTAAAACTTTTTGCCGCGATCGATAGCCGAAAGGGGAAAGCTCTCGGCATCGGCCGCTTGCCAAGCAACTCCCAGTCATTCTGGAATTGAAAAAGCAGCGACGCCGAAAGACGCTTCCAAGATGCCGTGACGTAGCTTTATGGCTGCAAGCTGTGGAACTTGATGACAAATATATATATTTCGAATTTTCCGTATCGAAAAGAGAAGAGCAAAAAGGTAGAGCCGCGTTGTTTTGCTGTCGCTGTTTATCCAGAAGATTCGCCGTTAGAACACACACAGTTTTCGTCTCAAAATAAATTCATCGAAAATGCAAGCGAAAAACTTACGACAAGGGAATTTCCTGGGGAGGAAGTTGTAAATAGCTGTAAAATTCAGAAAATCGTATAATGCCGGGCGGAAGCGCCGCGAGAGCGGATCCATGATGAAGCGCGCGCGTCAACAGGCGACGGAGAATATTTTCTCTTCTCACTTTCGTAACACAATTAGCTGCAGGCTGCAGGCTGAAATCGAATTAGTTCGTATCGGATGCCGCTTAATTTCGCTGGCTCGGCTGTACATCGATAGCTATCGTAGTTTTCCCCGGAGCGAGTCCGACACGACGACCGAGTTTTTACAGGTCAAATAAAGTTGAGTTGCCGCTCTTCCTATCTCTCTTCGTTTATCTCCCCCGTTTTTCTCTTCTCTACTCTCTTTCTCTCTCTTAGTTGACACTTCTCGTGCACGGCAATATCTCTCATGGTTAATGCGGGTCACGAGTTGAAAATGTGGGTCGTGTATGCGCGAAAACAACGAGACGTTTCGAAGTCAACGTACGCGTTCGCGTTTATTTCGGTAAACGAGTACCAAATGATTTCGCCTGAAGGAAGAAAGGAACGTATGATCTCGCGGATTGGATGCTCCAAAGCGCGGTGCATCCTGAAAGTTTATATTGGGGGAACTTTCATCGGGCGATAAGGGATGAGATTCTCCCGAGCCAAGCACTTCACTGAAAATTCGTTTGGCCGCATCAGACGCGTTCTCCGTACACGAGTCTCCGTTTATTCGTTTTTACACAACGAGAATGAAGAGATAGCTAAATTTTGCATATTCAATCCTCCGAGCATTTTATAGAAACGGTAGAAAAACCTTCATAGATGTTAAATAAAAAGATGAAAATACATGATAAAATTTTTCTATCCGCCTTTAAGATCGAAGCTTTAATGCGAAGCGGAATGCGCTTTTCTCTTGCAGTTCAACTTTAGATATCGTGACATTTCTGACAATGAAAAATCGATGGCAAAAGGAAGTCGAGAGCCTGCGAGTGAAGAAAAATGCAATGGTTCCGACACATATTGTACGTTTTCAGATGCAGATATCTATAAAATTCGAATATAGTCGCTGAATATCCAGCCTCTCTCTCTCTCCTATTTTCTCACTTCCTCGCTTTACTTTCAACAAAATGCGCGCGCAATGCTGAATCCCGACGAAAGAATAAACAAGCGATATCGCGTTCGCCCGGATGGGTATTTCACGCCTCTTCTCCGAGATATCTGGGGATATTGTGCACGGCGAAACTGGTTTAAGCAAATAAAACAAAAATGGCCAGAAAAACTGACGAGGACCGAATTGAAATTAAAATAGGAATGTAACCGCTTCTCAATAAAACGATTCAACGATCCATTTCGACATTTTACAGCGTTGTTTAAAATCTACTTTGACTGATCGATTAAGTCAAGGAAATGAAAATCTTTTTATAAGATCGTATTTTCTTTACAAAATGACAGTTAAAATGGAATTACAAGTTATAAGTTGTCAATCCATACAAAAGTGTTTATCAATTGATTTTTTTGAAATGTTATTTAAAATTCAAAAATTTGCATCGATCTCTATTAGCAACGGAAAATTTCAAGATAGCTAGAGCAATTTTATATATTTCAAATGAAATTTATTAAACGGAATAATTGATGAGGAATAATTTTGATAATAAAATTTCGAGAAGATAAAATTTCGTCCCCAATTCCAACTTGTCATCACGACGATGTCGTGTCAGAACAATGACCAGCTGAATTAGTAGTAGGAATCCACCAGCAAAGATCACTTCTGTCACTCGATAATTATTGAGACGGTAATTATGGAATAATTGGATGTTCAATTAGTGTATGGCCTCTGGTTACACGCAAAGCGCAGAGAATTATCAAGGCCTAACTAGAGTAACTGGATTTGATTCAATGAGAACTGGAAGCGTGATACGCGATTTGACGGAAAATAGAAATACCTGAGATTCTCACGATCTTCATTAATAACGACCCTCAACTATAATGACGAATTTCTGCTCTGTACCAATACGAGTAAGATTTTCAAAAATAATAAACTATAATGTAACTACGTTATAATACACTTACGTCCCGTAGTATTAAAAAAATATTATTCTTGAATATATCATCGTGTGCACGAATAAGTTGTTTAATTTAAATAAAGCTGCGAAAATGTAATAATTATAAGTCCCGTACTTGAGATTCCAGAATTGATAGTAACATTTTTGATATAAATAAACAAAAAATAATTCTTACTTTAATGTCAATTCTATACTTTAGAAAATAATAGCAATTGTAAGTAAAATAATTATTTCAATCATAAAAGATGTAAATTGTTTTGAAATCAGTTCCTATAGAAAAAATTGAAAAAGCATAAACATCTATAAAATATTATATTTATAAAAATTTCGTGTCGAACGTAAGAGATTAAAATTGATTTTCAAAAACTTATTAAACAACAAAAAAGAGAGTAAGAAAAATTTACTCATCAGCTTCAGTTTCTTAAAAGTCGTAATATACACAACACTTGTGACATAAATCATTTTACAAAGAAAATTATATCAGTAATCTGCAGTAAAAAGCAGATGCCTTACCATATACTGATTGACTTATATAAGTTTTTTCGGGGTTTCCACTAGTCCACTACTAATACTCGCATACTTTATTATATAATCGTGTTAGAGATTTTATACTATTCGTTAAGTTCAAAAGATTTGCATGTTAAAATCGAACAGTACAGTATACCGACGATGGGACAATCAAATGAATTCGGGATTTCAGGATCGACGCTCCGCGGCTTTAAATATAATAGCTACGTATACCGAATTGGAATTGACATCCGTTCAAGCTGCAGCAGCTAAATGAGACGATTCTCTTATGCTGCAGGTTCAGCGGTAGCGATGATCGGCGCTAATCTGCGATTCGGCATCGGCGCTTCCGGGAATGTCACGTCCAACGCCACTAAGGTGTTCCAGTGTCACCCGGGTGGCGTGACCGAGGCCACCGTCATATTTAGCCTCGGTGCAATGGGGATGGGGGCGAATATCATCCTCATGACGTTGATACTGGCGAAGCGACAGCTGCGCAGGTACGAAGCGATAATAATCCACCGAAGAACGGCGCTTTATGTCCACCCTCTCTTCCCCTCCCCCCCTTCACTAAGCTCAACACGGGCTGATCCAGGGATAACACCTCGGAAATTCTCGCGTTATGACCCGTTCGATATGTATCATGTATACATACGAGACAAAACCGCCTTCTGTCGCGCGAAAAATTACACGACCGTGATTTCTCACGAATGGAGAGGAAGGATGCGTGTTGCGATATAGATACAAAAGCACAATATTCTATTGCGCTCTATTACATCCGTCTCACGGAGTTCAAAGTCAGCTTAACGCATTGTTAGTTCAATGCATTCGTCGCGAGAAACACACATACACGCGTGCACACATACGCACACTGGCACACATATACGCCGTTGCCAATAAGCGAAAACAAATTTGCTTTATCGCGACTTGTCGTACTTTCGAATAGAATTTATAGAGCAAACGGCACGTTTAGCCGATGCCGTACGTAGATTTCAATCTCGCGTAAGAGTATCCTGACTTGTTGAACTTTATTTCAGTACGTGAACAGGCAGCTATATTGCGGTGCGGTAACCGTCACGTTCTGTTTACCGAATAAAATCTCGATCGTATGCTGCATGCTTGCGAGTAAACAAAATATTGTCTGATCGATACGCGAAACATAATGCGCGCGACAAACTGCGGGGTGTCCTCCAAATTTAATGTGATATCGAATCTTAGGGACGTATCCTAGCTACTATTAATTTAAAGTCGACAGTTCCCTTAAAGTTCCTAAAAACGTCGATATATCTAAATGCAATATCTTTTAAGATTGCAAGTAAAATATATATACATTTTTCGCAAACTAAGCCTCACAGATTGAAATAAACGTATTAAGGTCAAATTTAAGTTTAATTAAAATATCTGGCGTGAATTGAATATCCACAATAAACAGCAGAGAGGAAGATGAAGTTAAATACTGATTTAAAAAGAAATTAATGCGTTCGTTAAATTTGATATATTTTATAGAAACCTTCTGCTTGCATATGAGTTTTTTATTTTATACAATTGCGAATGAGTTAAAATTGCCGGAGGTATATCTTGTAAGATGCAGTAATCTGGGATTAGAGAAGTAGTAGAAATCAGAGGCAAGACGGACGAGAATAGCGAATGTGTTGACGTACATTCATCCGGGGGATTCACAGGTGGTCCCAGGGATTGTTATTCCACCAAGCTATGGTGGATTGCGCGAGGGCCGCTATACTGCTGCCCCTAGGCAACAGTATATTGAATTGTCAGCCTGTTAACAAGTGCTCCCTGGTAGAGACCGCCTTTCTGTTACTGGTCACCGTTTCCACGGTGAACATGCTAACGACCGTACTAAACGACAGCCCGGTGTTCCCCGAGAGCGACGAGGAGGCGGATCTGACTGCTCCTTTATTGATGGACTCACCTCAGGTAAGAATTAACGTGCGCCGTTTAAGCTAATGCGTGATTCCGTTAACACGCGCAATGGTTATTCCCATGATTTTCCCGGACATACCTATCGTTAAACAAATCGGAGTGTAGATTCGCGCGTACATAAACTCTCAATCCCTGAGTCTTAACAACTAAGTTTCAACTTATCTCTTAGCCCTCAGCACACTCTCAGCTCTTCCAATTTGCAACTTTCAACTTTCAACCCTCGATCTTCTCAATCGTCTCTTAACTCGTTGCGGTTCAAACTATTTCTCGCAAGTGAGCGAACATCAAAAATTTTGTCAACTAACGTATGATCAAGCTGGTCTAACGTTGGAAAATTTTTTTTATTATTTAGAGATTTTTTAATTTATCGAAATGACAAAAGTATAATTTGCGATTTTAATCGCGCCTAGATTTGAATGCTTGAAGAATCATGTGATATAAGTTATCGCAACGCATTATGTTGAGTACAACTAAAGGTAAAAGATTAAGCTTTTATTTGACAATATATTTGTGTAGTTGTAAAATAATACGCTGATTTAATCAAACACAGATATTGCTTTTAAGGCGTTAATTCAGTTAATCAAGTCAGATAGGTTTGCTTGTGACAGGCTATTAGTCAAAAACATTGTGAGGTATGGACAGACCGCGTGACTTTGTCTAACGCAGGACTGCGGTTGTCCATCTCGCATGCGAAATGAGAGAGAAATTTCCACCTAACCGCAGCATTGTGATAGCGAATTTAGCGGTGACTGATTGCGGTGCAAACCGTCCGCACGAATCGCAGCGTAGAGATATCGAAGTGAAACCTGTCGCGCTAAATCGGATTTTTTCAAAGGAAAATTAATTGCGCCGTAGAAAAACATCAAGCGCACAGCCTAAGTTGGACATACAGAGGCTTCTTAATAAATTATAATAAATTCAACTAATAAACGTTCCCATAAAGGCAGAATTTTTCTCTACATGGAAAGAAAAATTTTGCTGAATCCAGATTTGAAAATAATTTTTGTTCAATAATCAAAATAATTTTGTGCGAAAGTCAAAATGATTGTTAGAATATCAAAACGTTTTATAGCAATGCTTATCAGTTTTAACATTCCAACAAATTATTTTGATAATTCAACAAAAAATTATTTTCAGATCTGTTTTTAGCAAAATTTTTAGACCTTTCAACAAAATCGTTCTTTCCATGTAGTTAATTTCATATAGAATTTTTATAGTATCAAATTATAATAAACGCTCAAATATGATTATTAAAGTGTGAAAAAATAATGTTTCAATTGTACAATTACTACTACTAGTTTGGTTTTCTCATCATAAATTATTAAAATTGTTCTATATTTTCACTCAATTTCTCATTCAATTTTAAATAAATTTTTTTCAAAATTACTTAAAAACATTTTTTTAAATATTTTAAAATAATTTCCTATTTTTCTAATATATATACCTATATACACAACAGAGTAGAATTTAAAAATTCAAAAATCGCAAAACAGAATTCTAACATCGAGGAAAAATTATTTTCAAATTCATTAGACTGCACGCTTCTAAAATTCTAATGCAGTTCTTACGAGAGACTCTATATCATTACGATACGACCCGAGACACTAAATTAGTGCAATTAATTCCTAAACGACTTAACTTTCCTGAGCGTGTGTAGTAGCATAGTTTCAAATTAATTTAACGCAATAACTTGTACATCTAGTGACACTCGACTCGCTTTTGTAACAACAGAGTTCTAATAATAGTTCATTAAACATCCGAGATGTCTATTACTCTATTATTACGTATCCTTTGCGAGAAGATTGCAATTGTAACTTTATAGGCATCGAAATGATTTTTGCATTTATTTTAAATTGCACTAATAATACATGTTCTTTATTTAGCTTCAGGTTTTATATAATCATTTCAAGATAATTTTTTGGTGCACATGTAGATTATTAAACTCTCTTTTTTGCCATTTGTTAAATTTGTAAATTTTAAATAAATAACAAAACATAAAATTTTAATTTTAAATTACACATAATTATTAAGTTGTCAAATGTACCAATATTTAAAAAAATTTATAATAATAATTTAGTTTTCTATTTCTGTTAAAGGGAATATTTGAAATGATATTTTTTGTATTTACCGGCGAATTTATATCTCGTTAAAGCTTAGCTTTGATAAAGTGGTCTTTGCAATGGCGGATCAATTGTGGATTACAGGATTACAGACGTGTGAGATACGGGAATTTAAATGAAGACACAATCGGATTATATTTTAAACTCGTTAGACTGACCAATCACGATACTTAAACAAGACTACGTTTGATCGAATAAATATGAATATTTATAAAATTTTACAAAAATGTGAATGTTTTTTAAAAATTTACGATCGCTATTTGTAATGATTAACGGTTTTCCGATAATATTTTTGCTGATTCTATTTTGTACAAATAATGTACAAATAAATCCATAATTATGTTTGTAAAACATCTTATTACGTTATAAAAAAATCATCGGTTTGAACACAATAATGCACTTTGCAGTGTGCTTGATTTAAATTTGCAAGTTTAAATTTCCTGTATTTATAAAATTCATTTATAAACTGTCAGTGTTGCTCAAGTAATTAAGTTGAAATAGCCATCATTTCGTTAAAATGTATTTATGAAGCTCGTTGAGAAATAATTTATACGTGGAAGGGTTTAATCAAATTGCGTAGGAAACAGTTAGAATCATTTTATAAGATAACAGTATATATAATCTACAGGAGTCTCACGTGCTTTTTATCTCAACAAAGGACAAAAAATTATTTGCAAAAAAGATGTTCGAATAATAATACTTGATTTAATATTATTTCTTATAAATTTTCAAAATAAAATTCGTTTCATTACTTCTATATATATAAAAAAAAACAATCTCAAATTCATTGTCTCAAAAATGTTTACCAAACCGCAAGTGCAATTCATTGAAGTACTACAGTACTACTGCTTTATACTGATAAGTCTATTTCAAGAAAAACCCTTTCATGCACTTTGCCGAGTATATTTCTCGCTATTTTTACAGTGCGTGCTGTTTGGCACTTTCATGATCTGGTTCGCCAGCATAACTATCAATCTGGGACCCACATTTCTTAGCGGAGCATTAGCGGCGAACACGGAGAGCGGCCACAACACGCCCAGCTGCCCGCTTGTACACGGCCCTTTCCGCCACTACATACTCAATGCCCTCTGGATTGTCATCAACATTATTTGCGTAGCGCTCACGCTCTTTCACTTGAGAAAGTTGCACAGAGACCTGACGAAAGCTAATGTCGAAGCGGTAAGCGGCAATACCCTGATCATATGTACAGCCAAAATCTGTTAAGCGTATCAATTCCGATTAATTTTAATGAAATAAAAGTTTTATTTAATTAAAATTAAAAATAAATTTTTATTTGACAGTTACTTTAAATTCTTTTCATATCTGTATAACATCGCGTTTGTTTTCAGGTACGAGTAGCTGGTCTTGTTACAACGCTCGTTAATGTAACGGGAGGACATCAGGGTGCAACGAATGCGCTTGCAACTGAGGATGGTGACACGAGGAACGGTGCGACACCGAAAGTAAGTCATTACGTTAACAATTTTCAACGCAAAGAGCGTATTTCTGTATTCCAATAAATCTATTCTTTCATTTTTATTTGTAATTTAGATAACATTATTATTATATATTTAATATTTTTTCCAAAACTGCATTTTAAATATCGCCGATGGCCTTCATTTTTATTCGTAATTTAAATAACAGTTTAATATTTTTTTCAAAAACTGTTTTAAATATTGCTGACGATATCGACAGTATCAATTTCTCTTTGTATGCGCACATTCTTTAAGCATCTACAAATGGGGCACATATGCGAGGCAAGACGGAGTTGAAAGGAAGGAAGTGAGTGCGCCGTGGCGCATAAAAGGATCTAAAATTATTCAGATACGACATTTCAGAGGACGGGCGCCATCGAGGAGCACCGAAAAATGCGGAATTACCTCAGGAGGATGGAACGCGAGGGTGTGCAGAGGGTGAAAATGTTCCTGGTCATAACAGCGGCGTACGTCTTGTTCTGGGGACCATTGTTTTTCGTTACCCTGGTGCACCACCCCGTCATAGGGAACCCTACCGGCTACGAGGTAATTAGAACGTATAGAGCGCCGCGCGCAAGATGAGATAATGGGTGCAAGTTTGTATCTGTGCTCGCGTTAATGTTACTGGAGCGGAAATTTAGACGCTATCGATATTTATGGGTTCCCACAAATATCTCCCGGTCATTACTTATCTCGCTCGTAATGGCGCATTATTTGCGCGCACTTGCGGTATCTGAGTGCGAATAATTAATTAGCTCGGCAGTACGAATGCCTGCCGCAACGTACGTCGTTCGCGGATCGAATTTTGTCCCCGGTGAAAACGGCAATTGTATGTCACACGTTGTTTATTCATTCCGCGAATGAAGCTCTCTTATTAATTTCAAAAGATGCACCCGCCAGAAATAATCGGCGACACATCAGCTTACATAAATAATTATAAATACAATACAGCTGACGTTATACACAAGTAACATTTTATCGAGAAAATCAATTGCAAATGTCGAGGTTAATCGTTGGGCAGCGATGAAAAATGAATACGAATCTCTCCCTTTTTTTTCTCTTCCTTTCCAATCGTTACAATTTTCTGCGATTTGTGTACAGGGTGGGGCATCTAAAACAAAATACCGGAATACCTATGTCAAAAACTAAATCCGGTAAGGAAAAATATTTTATACAAAAGTTGTATAATTTGAAAGAGGACAAATAATGAAATAAAATCAATTTCCCAAAAAATCGATTTTTCAAAATCACATGGGACCCATCTCCACTTTTTAAAATAAAATGATATATTTTTTTTTTTACATAATATGATTCCTTTAATTATTCTGCATATAAAAGTATTAAGGTAAAGTTATCGAAAACTCAATACCTTCTGAGATATTTTATATCTTATCGCCACATTTGGACATAAAATATGAAATCGATGAAATGATCTCGTAAATTGACTATTTCGTCTATTGATTTCTTGATAATTGTATCTTAACTTTTATGCATAACATGCTTCAAATCATACAAACTTTTGTCTAAAACATTTTTACCTACCGGATTTAGTTTTCGACATATTCCGGTGATTTATTTTAAATGTTCCACTCTGTATATATATTCCCTTAAATAATTATAATGCCGCGATGCCTAAAATATACGGCGCAAGACACAGCAAAACTTGTCAAGCGATTTCTGAGTTTGGTTTCTGGATAACAATACAGATGTTCCGATGGGAACAAATGCGAAAATTCTTGGCGAGAAAACATGAAAACGTTAACTCGCTCGACCATGCCACTACAGAGTTGTACGTGTTGTACGTGAATTCGCGACTAGTTCGAGCAAAGAAAGAGAGAGAGAGAGATTCTTCCAAAGAATCTCTCCACGAGAATATAAATTTTCAAGAGAGGAAAGTCTGCGCCCGAAAAACTCGTTGAGTGACTCGAAGACATCGCGCGTAGCGTAGATTTTGCTGATGTGCAGCGTCGTAACAGATGCACGAAATAGCGGCATTTTATCTTCTCGATGCGCAATAAACTTCCGGTATTTTGACAAAGCGAACTGAGACCACGGCAACACAGTGAAAAGCGTAATTTAAGAAGAGATCAATCTTTCCGCGTTTCCCACCTAAATAGATATATGTATAAACTTCGATATTTTTCAATGGAGAAATTTTACGCTTTTTACACGTGACCTAGTGAAGATCTTTTCAAATATTAATCCTTCCTTAATTTAAATTAATTTAAATAATTTAATTTAAAAGAGCCGAATCCATACGAATAATTAAACTAACATTTTTCATTGTTCTTATGCGGTGGACTGATTATATTATAATTTTAGTTTCTTGCTTCAAAAGGAATGCAGTTCCTCTATGTGATTTTCCTTCTATTCTATAAGCGCGCTATCGTGCAATTTTGGATTAGCTTCTAGATTTACGTTTACAGTAGTACGACGCAAAGTGTATCACACCGCATCTAAATCACTGGATTCCGCGGTCTGTTGTACCACCAGGTGACCCTACACATCGCGTACGTGCACGCCTTCGTAAACCCAGCCCTGTTCCTCGCCCTGCACCGAGGGCTGCGGCAGGGGATGTCGGACGTGTGTTGCGGCTGTTGCGAAAGCATAGCCCGGTGGATCCTCGGGTCGGCTGCCGCGACCGGTCCAATGCAGAATGTACAACTACCCCGATACGAGCCACCGATGAACCTCCCCTCGCCGCCGGACCCACCCCTGGCAGCGTCGGCCGTATCGCCGGGATGTAATCTCACTGACGTGGCGCTCCTGAAACCACCCTTGCCACCGACTGCCAAACACTTATTGATGGTAGGGCCCCATAATCAATAATCAACTAAACTTATCGCGGAATTCACGATTAATTACTTAAAGATTGATCTTTAAAGCCACCCCTTCAATAACTTTAGACTAATTTTCCTCGATTGTCTCTCCTTTCCAGAACGTTAAGTTTTACATGATTTTTATTGTACAAAGATACTACCCAAGCTTATGATATATAAATACAAAATTATGAGTAAAATTACATCAGGACGACTCCATCGTGATACCGCCGGATCCTTGGAGTCTGACTTCAAGACCAAAGAGCACTTCTAGCCTATACGAAGAGGAATTATCCAGGAGACCGAGCCTCCTCCTACCACCACCGGCGGAACTAAATGATCTGCAAATGAGTCCGACAAGTAGCGACTTGCCCAGCGAATAAACGACTTTTAGTCAACATCAACATCGAACAAAAAGCACAATGTTAACCGATTACAATGTAAAAAATAATTGTAAAAATGATAAAAACAGTTTCTAAAGACAAATCCTTCCTATTATCCTAATCCTCTCCTGGAGCATCCAATCAGGCGTTCATATTATATATATTACTGATAAAATGCCGAAATCAAATGAATCACGCGCTATAAATACTGCGTCACTTAAGTATTTTTTAATTAATATTAGCATATTATCATCGAAAATATCACAACTATTTGCAACTGCGTTCGAATATGTATCCATAAAGTTTTTCGTTCATGCAATTTTTAACCTTCAAATGGTACAAGAGTACGAATTCGCACCGCGAACATTTTCGAATTGCTGGCATTTGCACAGAAACATCTGTCGTGGCTTATCCCCATTACGTTAAATATATTCAAAACATTTCTGTTTTTTCCTTAGAACAGATGTACAATTTAAGATATCAAATCCAAATTCGTACAATTGTTCCATTAGTGGGTGCTCGAAAGAAGTGTCATCATTTGAAGGTTAATACAGTATTAAGCTGGACGGAATGGAATATTAAGTACAATCGTAAATTTATATAAAATCGTCAATTAAGTTCCTATTTAATGCGATATCAAGAAGTCAAGAGTACATGAAAGATACAAAATTAATTACATGTTAATGCATCTTGAGTTTTTTTTAAGAAGTGAAATAATTGAAGAATTAATGTGCACATTTACTTTTACGATGCGTACGTATATATATAATAGATTTTTAAAAAATTGACAGGTTGATTTTTTTAAACTCGTATTTACGTGTACATCAATTTCCACAATTATCACTTCCAAAACTGTCAGTTGAAATAATGTTGAAATTTAATTTCTTTTTCTTCTTGGATATTACAAGCACCGTCGTAGCAAAATTTAAAAATTAAACACGAGAAACAAATTGAAGAGAAAAGAAAGACCACCGGGCATCATCTGAATGTATCTGTGATCGCTTATAAACGTCCTAGTCTCTTCATCGTTGTGGTGTCACTAATAGATTCTTAGAGGATTATATATATATACATATAATATATATTAGAGCTGTTACTTTTTGCTCACTTCGAATATTCGAAGCTTCGACGTTAACTTCGACCTTTCGAAGATTAAGATGCCTTCGAAGCTTCGAAGTTTCGAAGCTTTGAAAAATATATTAAAAATTTCAATTTTCTTAATAAGATTGTTTTATTGATCGTCATCTTTCTTTATTTACACATGTATCCAGTTAAATTATTAATTTGTAACATTTCAGGTTATAACACTTTCAAATTTTTTAGGAATAATTTCGTATATATATTAATTCTTTTCATTTACAATATTTGTAAATTTTCTGAATAAATTTATCATTTGCACGAATATTTTTCGAAATTTCGAAACTTCGAAGGCACCTTAAACTTCGAAGTTTCGAAAGAATTCAAAGATTTTAATGCCTAAGCTTCGAATCTTCGAAACTTCGAAGTTCGAATGTCGAAGCTTTCGAAGCAAATCACCAGCCCTAATATACATATACCTATATATATATATATAGATATATATATATATATATATAGGGTGTCCGTAAAGTCAATTACCTTTATATTTTGGAAACGGCTTTAAATACAAAAAAAAAAGTTTCAAACAAAAGTTGTTTGACTTCAAGGGAGACATAAAATAGTACCATTGGTTGGTAGTACCTTGGGTGTCGCTACCAAGGTCAGGGAAAGGTCACTTTAAATTTTTTAAGTGAAACCCTCCATTTTTTATTGTATATCCTTGTAGATTATCTCGAGAGCTTTCCAAAACACATAGATAAAATATTTTTTGATTAAATAAATCTTGAGTTATAAAGCTTGAAAGTTGCAGTATCATCGGCATTAGCATTATCCAAAGTGTCCGAACACTGACTAAAATCTTTTGAATGTTCAAGATCATGACCTAGACAACACATGTCAAGATCAAGGCCATTAAAGGTTATTGCTTTTATTTTCATTTTGGAAAATTATATTTATTTTTTGGAAAAAAGAGAATCAATTTCCAGTGGTCATGACCTTCACATGTTTTATCAATGTCATGATCCTGAACAACATTCAAAAGGTTTTAGCTAGTGCCGACGGTACTCCAACTTTCAAGCTTCATAACTCAAGATTTATTTCATAAAAAAATATTTTATCTATGTGTTTTGGAAAGCTCTTGAGATAAGCTACAAGAATATGCAATAAAAAATGATTCCATTAAAAAAATTTAAGTGATTTTTCCCTGACCTTAACAGCGCCACACAAGGTCAAACCAATAGTACCATTTTATGTAATCCCCCTTAAAGTCAAACAACTTTTGTTTGAAACATTTTTTTATAACTAAAGCCGTTTCCAAAATATAAAGGGTGATAATTGACTTTACGGATACCCTGTACATACATATATCTGAGTGTATATGTATATATATTATATATATATACATTATGTATATACGTAAAGAAAGGGATACTGATAGCTTATAAATATTAAATAATACATATATTAATTCATGATTTGCTTTTTCAGCTTATACAGAACAGAACTGAAAATGAATATCTGACGAGTCAGAGAAGTACGACACGTGGTAGAAAGTATAATTAACTGGGAAAGATTTATACTATAATTTCTTCTTTTTAGCTGAATTGTAGATGCACTTATCAAATGTATAATACATAACGAATGCGCATTCCTGCCGCGTTTAAGTCCTTCGTAAAGTGGCACCTATCGTGTGTGAGCTTCTTTATCTAGGGACTCAATCTTTTCGAAATGAGATACTATATATATTAAATTACATATATATTTTCTACGCGACATTTTAGAGATTGCCACCGTTGCAACCGCACGACGCATCAGCGCCCCGCTGATCCATTTTGTGCGCTACACCAATGCTTTCGTTTTATGCAAATGAGAAAGAGAGATTAACAAGAGTAAAGAAGCTAGAGAACTTGGATTATAGTAATCAATGTAAATATGAACGATTATCTTTGCTATATAGTTATATGTTTATTATATTAATAACATAATTCTCAATGTAATTTGCCTCCAATATTTATTTTCAAATTTTATGGTTTTAATGTTGTATTTGAAGCAAATTAGCAAACCAAAAGCGATATATATGTCCACATATTTTAAATATTTGTGTTTTCGTCACATTTCTATAATAAAAATACCTCGGATGTTTCACTCCCCGATAAATGATAATATTAATAATAATATTAAAGATTAACACGATATTAAAGAACATATTAAAAGCCGGTCGACTTTGAACAATGAAGCGAAAAAATCGCAAAACTCAGTTAATTGTACTAAAATTGGCAAATTAATTTGTCACGTGATTTTCTAAAGCACGTAGACGTAGTATTTCACATGAATTAAAAATACAATTCCAAATTACGAGAATAATTAAAAGCAGTAATTTCTACTAATTTTTTTATGTAAAAAAATTATAAAAATTATTCCATATCAGACTGCACCGTACTATATCGTAATTTGTAGATTACAATCGTGAATGAATTATAATAACTTTAAAAATCTAAGTATTTTTCAATCAAGAAAGATATTTAGAACTTCTAAACGTAAACTCTAATAAAAAATCTTAACACGTTTATATAATTTATATAAGTCTGATTAAAAATAACGTAGATCGAAATTATTGAAATTTCTTCCAAAATTAAAAATATGCACTATTGGCATAATTAAACGTATATATTAAGGTATACTTAAAAATGTTAGTATAGAAATTGTTTCTTATTATATAGTAAAAAGCATATCAACGTAGAGGAATGTCATGTGTTTGAAAAGTTAATATGCAGCGTAATATTACGCGGCGAGTATCGATATTTATTAAAATTACGTAAGATTAATATCTTCACCCAATTCCTTCTTTCTTTATTCACCGGTAATGTGTTGAAAGCAGTTCGCGAAGGATGCTGCTTAGATACAAGTCAATTAACTGTAATTACCACAGAATATTTTATTCTTAGGTACGTCGCGTGTGGAATAAATGTTTAATGTAAATTAATGTAAATTGTACGTGTAAGAAAGTAGCAGAACGAGACCGAAATTTTTTATCGTAATTTTATAAATGCAACATCGAGGACGGACGATCGATTAATGGCAATTGTAAGAAAAAAAAATTATTGTTAGAGATGCATTAAAAGTATACGAGATGCGTTTGAATCGAAAGTTTTGCAGCCTCGACTATATGTTTAATACATTGAACCGTGAATTTTAATTTTTAATTCACGTTACTATTATTTATTTTATTTGTCAATAGATCAAAAATATACATATAACTTGGAATTGTTTACTTAATTTTTTAATGTATTTTAAAATATATTTAATGTTTGTAAGTAAAAATGCAAAATTTTATAGCGTGATTGGCTTCAATCTTTACGTTAATTTAACAAATTCAATTCAATCTATTTTTTAACAGTAAATATATCTTGTAATTGCTATTAAAATCGATTTTTTTCAAAGTGTTCTTGAAAGTCAAGGCCACTCAAGCGAATTATTCTAAATAATCTCATCAGGGCAAAGTATTATTATTAAGAACATTTCTAAGAGAACGGTGCCTAAAAAACTGAAACACCGCTGCAAATTGGCAGCAAAGTATGCGAAATGACATCGTAAACTGTATAAATTATACGAGCATAAATTTTATCTAGAAGGAAAGAGCATGCATTATATTTCAATGTACATAAAATCCTGTTCACATATTTAAAATAAAAGTATGTGTGATATATAAATTATATTTCCTTCCCTTTAATAAATTAATAAAATATTGCGTACTTCAAATATAACGAAATAAATGGCGATATATTTGCTACAGAATCATTTAGTTGAGAATTTTAACAGTATTATATTGCAATTATGCGTATTGAATATATTGTGGTTATTTATTTTTAAAAATTAAAAAGTAAATAATAGCACGCGAAGCGCGACTGTGGTGTCTAGTTTAAAATAAAAGTATGTGTAATATATAAATTATATTTCTTTCCCTTTAATAAATAAATAAAATATTGCGTACTTCAAATATAGCAAAATAAATGGCGATATATTTGCTACAGAATCGTTTAGTTTCTTCGAGAAAATCTGTGATCCGTGAGAGAGCATACAGAGAATGAGTCAAAGGCTTCTTCGGATATTCGAAGGTAGACAGTTCTCCGATTCAACACAACGTTAACGTTAGATATTTATCTGTCTCACGTTGCCACTCACCTGTTCGAAGCCACCTAATATCTCCGTTGTGTCCATCGCAGAATTCACGGCAATCGACCTCAGCTTATGGCCTGTCAAAGAGGCAAGTAAACGAACTACACTGCTTTTTCCGCTGCCCGAAGCACCAATCTACAATATTAAATTTGATTTAATAATCGTATTATAATTTATCAGCCAAAAGATGGAACTCTAATAAAAAATTCACTCAAAATATAATATACAAACATACAAGTATGGACATCCAATTCATCTTAACGCATTGCATGAGACTCTTCAACGCCTTTTTCTGCTCTCTGAGCACTAACAAATTGATGTCCTGGGGCTCGCTGCAATTTTTTCGGCTTAACGTCACGTCACCGATGAAAAGTTCGTCTGCCGTGATGTACATGGGCAGTTGATTGGGTGGAAGAGGATATTTCTCGAGCGAGAACATTTCCTGATATATCTGATAGACCTGCAAAACAAATACAATATATGCTGTATTTGAAAATAAAATATTAAAATTCTATTATATTATTATTAAATAAAATATTATATATTTTTTAAATAAACATAAAAGTGATTTCTTTCAGTACAAATTTGTAATTCTTCTATTACTTTTGATATTCATACTATTTTAATACCTATTTATATTATTTGATATCTTAATGAATAACTTTATAATGATCGATTCACCTTTTGTCGATCTTCATTAGTTCTCATTCTGTTAACATAAATGAGTTCCACGCTGTCACCTGGATTAAAGTATTGTTTATTGCCGCGAAATTCATTGGAAGCGGCTTCGATGGTCGTCTCGCACCATCGGGTGATATCTCGTAGATTCATTTCCCACGGAGATCCAGCATGTCCCCATACGATGCCAGCTTCTGACGCTAGTTTGCTATTAAATTTCACCATATCATTGATCAATTCCACAGGAAGTTGTGGAAACTGCACTCTGAGTATAAACCTCAAATCGTCTTCCATTAATGCATCCACAGAAACCTGTAAGAGCAGTGGATTTTAGATTGTAGAAATTATTTCCGTAGCATTGCATTATGCTGTGTTCAGAATATATAAATACCTGAGTAAATCTATTTAAAAAGGACTTTGGTAAGCCTCGTCTGGCTCCACCTTGCCGCAAGGGATTTTGACAGCCGAACAACCTTGTGCCAGGTTTGACTGAAAATGTTTTTCCTAATTCGGGAATGTATATCTCTCCCCTGTGATCGAAGCACGCGTTAAGGCCTTCCAGGACTGATTGCGATGCTAGATTCAGCTCGTCGAGCAGAATCCAATATCCGGCACGCAAAGCCCGAAGAAATGGACCATCCCTCCATGCAAATTCACCGCCTTTCCCACCTTCCACGGGAAGATCGGCACCGAACAAATCGGATACATCCTATGCACACAATAGGAATAATCTCATTTAATTTCCTATATAATAAATTATACTTTATAATAGGACGAAGAAAATAAATTTATGCGCCGTTTTAAGATACCGTTTGGTCGCTTAAGTTGATTCTGAGCAAAGTATGCCCTGCGGCTTTTGCGAGTGCAGAAACCAGACTGGTTTTTCCTACGCCTGGACTTCCTTCCAGAAGAATCGGTTTGTTTAACTGTAATGCTCTTAGCAACTTTAATGTATTCAATTTCGTAGTGGGAGTTGTAAACGTAAATGCAAGATCCTCGCAAAAGGTACATGGTCCTCTTTCAATATAAAATGGTGACACTCCGAATACGTCTGGCGTATCTACAATGTCTTCATTTACCATAGAAGCTTCCATGTCAAGTACAGATTTTATTGTATTTTCAATTTCCGATTTAATAAATCGGAGAGCAGCTTCTGTAAAATTTTTCAATTTGCTGACACTAAAAATAAATAACAATCGGTTATAAAGCATTGAAACCTTTATTGCACTAAAATAAATAAGTATTCATATTGAAAATAATTTAATCAAAGTAATTTATTAAATATTATTTTAAAAAATTAAAACGGTCAAACAATTTTTACATGTAAAATTAAAATATCGAAATCTGAATACAATAAAAAATTAATACTTTGTGTTAAGAGCATTTACCTCTCCGAACCCGTGGAACCAGATCCAAGACTATCGATATATGTGAGACAAGCACCATGATAATACGCCTTCTCGATCGGCAGTTTCGTCAGTAGAGTGCCGCGAGAGAATATATTTATAAAATCGATCCAAGTGAGTACATCTCGTATGCTCACAATGAGCTTCTTGCCCACTTCGGTAGTTTGTAACCATTCGGTGAATCTCAATATCGCGGTGGCGACGGACTCCTTTGTTGTTTGCAAATCGACGTGGAGATTATGCATTATTATATCACGCAGATCGCTCATGACCATACATCCCTCGCACCACACTTCAGTGAAGCGATTTCGCAAGGCCGGCGAGAGCTCCTTCTTGCCGTAATCACCGCCGGGATTCATCGTGCCAACGAACACAAATTTCTCGTCCGCCACGATGACGGTATTTTCTTCATCGTGCGAAGACTCTATTCCTCTCTCAGCCAATAGAAGACTGCGCTCCGGTTCTGTCGGTAGACAGAAAGATTCAATGTAGAAAAATATATAATGATTATAAGTAAATTTAATTTACAATAAAAATGGATCAAAGCCTCTGTAAATCTCTTTTTATAATAATTATATACAAACAAGATTGATTTCTTCTGAAAGAATATGATTATTTTTTACTTCGCGTCTCGTGCTCACCTAAGAGTGAATTTAATCGCTCCAGAACGCTATCGTCGGCTAATGAAATTTCGTCAGCCAAGAACAAATCGCCGTTGCGCATAGCGTTTATTAAAGGACCATCCACCCATTCGAAGAGCTTCTGATCGTCCTCGGTATGCTCTCGAACAGGTCGTAGATTTCCCAGAAAATCGGACGACTCGGTGTGCATATGGCAATTCACACCACGCATAGCTTGGCCGTTGATAGCTGCGATCAACTGGCAGACTGTGGTTTTACCACCGCCAGTTTCTCCGATCAGCAATACCGGTTCCTTAAACTGACAGGATTTCTTCACCAGAACTGCCATTCGACGCATATGATAGGTCCATACGATATGTCCGAAGCCGGAGATATTGTTCTTCAGAAGCTCCTCCAATATATGCCTCGTTACTGGCGAGGTCTTGTCGTTCAGCGTGAACAAGCTATCGGGATCCACGTCTCTTTTTAAATGTTTTTTTATTACCTGTCTTATTTCATCCGCTTCTTCTGCTTTGCGGACTTTAGCCGCGAGAACAAGGTAGCCCTCGTCCGCCAGATGTTGACTCCAATCATACAGTTTGTTGCCTACATCAGGCGCTAATCTATACCTCTCGCCCCAACGAAAAAGATCTCGCAGAGTTATAAATCCCTTTTTACCAGCAAAAGCCGCCGTACTCTTACGTCTTATCTGCAGATCTGTCATTACGTTGATTACTTGTTTGCAGTACGACACCGGCATACTGCATCTCTCATTAAGTATTATCTGCAATTCGTTCGGCGGTATCTCGTCAAAGTGCAATTCTACAAATCGGTTCCTGAACGCCCGTGACAAAACTTTTCGGCCGCCATAGAGTCCAGGAGGATTTTGCGTCGCGAACAGCATAAAGTGTTCGTGCGCTTTTACCACCTGTTGCGTCTCAGGTATGAATAATTCCCTATTGTCGTCGAGGACTCGATTCAGAGCTTCCAAAACGTCACTCGGGGCTAAATTTAACTCGTCCAAAATAATCCAGTATCCTTTGCGCATCGCATCAACTAGGACTCCTTCCTTGAACACCAGCTTTCCAGTCTCATCCGCGATGTAACTTCCGACGTATTCCTGTAGATCTGTGTGCTCGTGATTGTTTATACGGACGCAAACGTGTCCAGTGGTCTTCGCCAAATAGGTAATCAAACTGGTTTTGCCTACTGATGTGTCACCTTGCAGCAAAACAGGGATTTTCCCGATCGACACGACTCTTACTAGGTCTTTCAAATTTCTTCTAACGGAATCAGTTAATATATAGTTGCTAGGTGTTTCGGGCGTTAAGCTTCCTTGTAGGATCCAATATCCTTCAATGTATAAGTATTCTTCTCCCGGACTGCATCTCGGTTTCGGTATAGGAGTGCCAAGAATTGCTTTGACGCTTTTGTTATCGAGGACAGCTTTCACAATCATTCTCTGTACAATCGGATACGAGTTGTAGTCCAGCTGCGTCAGGAAACTCAAAGAGAAGGCTTCATATAGAGATCTCAGGATATTGCCACAAGGATTCAATGCGGAAATGTACAACGCACGACACAACGTTCTCAGACTGTAATGCGGTTTATGCGCCGTGCCATCGAACAGTGTGCTCATAGCTTCCTTTCTCACGTTTAGATAAAACCTGACGATCGCGTCATGCTTCTCTAGCGGTAGATTTAGTTCCGCCAAATAGGAGCTCACTAGCAATAAAAGATCCGATCGCTCGGTCAACTCATCAATGTAGAACTCGGTGAATCTGTTTCTTAAACCGACCGGTAGGTCTCTCTTACCGATATCTGTGGCCGGATTCATGCAGGCAAACACTGTGAAGTCGGGATGTCTTTTCACAGGTTCTCCGTCACCGCGCTCCAATAACGGCAACGACTCCGAGGAGCCTTCCAACAAACCGGAAAGACACTCCAGTGTCTCTGCGTTCGCCAGATTAATCTCGTCCAAAAGAACCCAGTAACCATCTCGCAAAGCCCTGACCAAACTCCCCTCTATAAAGGAGAATGCTAGTGCATATTGGCTCTTCACTTGAGTTCCCAGTTTGTCCAGTTTCTCTAACATCTTTTCCCACTGCCTCAGCATATCTACTTCAGTCTGAACATCGTCCTGATCGCATCTCTCTCGAGAATTTTTGTTTCGTTTGAGATGTTTCAAAGTGTCATTTTTGAATGCATTATCTTCGAGATAGTTCTCGCACTTATTTCGCAATCTTTTCACAGCAGCGCGCGCACTGTGGCTCATCAAAGCGACAAGATTCTTCCACTTTTGTTGCTTGTGACACAGAGCAATGTGTTCAAGAAACTTTCTATTTGACTCGATCACAAAGTAAGAGCGAAACAGAATCTCGAACTCCTCCTGGATGGGTGAAATCAGAAACTTCAGATCGACCGGCTTGTAGCCACCTAATAAGTCCGCGCTCTCGCTCTGCTGATTCATATTTATGATTGTCAATTTATGACCAGTGCTTCTTGCTAAGTACTGTATCGAACTCGTTTTTCCGGTGCCAGTCTCGCCGACCAGCAGTACGGGCTCTTTCTGCATGACACAGCTAGCTATGCGTTCTAGCAAACACGCAGAGGGTCTTGTAAAGGAGAAATTAATCTTTTCTATATCTATTCTCGCGTATTGTGCCTTCTTACGAGCCAGCTTCGCTCTGCCCGCTATCAAAAGTTCAGGAAGTAGGGATATGGACGGTTTGTGCATATTGCAAAAATACTCCGCCTTCGTCTTTATAATGCCAAGTTTATGAGCTACCGCCATCGCCAAATTTAATCGTTGCTCTATAAACATACATACAATAATTAATAATATATTTAGTGGAGAGCGTTTTCAAATTTTATAAGATAAGTAAAAAAAGATCTAATGAACATACATTTTATATATTTAAATAGAAAAATAAAAGAACTAATACCTTGATTAGGCACCGAACTGCAAAAAACATCTAGAGCATCCTGGAATATTTTCAATGCAGAGTCTGACGACGAAACGTCGAAATCGATGATAGCTCTGGAGCACCATTTTATTAAATCTCGCGTCGATGTCTGTCGTCCAATCTTCAGCGATAGTATAGCATCACTTGTATTACTCTCACTATCGTGATCTCCTACAGAAAACAACAAGAACACATCTACTATTCTAGTAGCAATAGTGTTCAATACTGGAAACAGTGTTCGGACTACAGTCACTAATTCGCCTTTGGACAGTGGCTCCACGTTTAGGCAAAGCCAATGTTTTTGCAACAAACTCGAGGATCCTGTGATATGTTTTTGAATGCCCGTAATGGACATCATTAATCGCTGAGTAACAAACAACTGGAATTCACTGTTGGCATAAATGGTATCGCGATAGCCAGGTACACTGAGTGTTCCAGTTTCCATCAGATTGCTCAAGACACTGGCTACATCGAGGGCAGCGCTATCCACATCCTCCAAGAGCAGCCACTTGCCGGCGACAACCGCTTGTGTGAGAACACCCGGTTGCCAAACAAATTCACCGGGCACGTCGGTACACCTGTACATCCCCAGCAGCATCTTCGAGTCGGTCTGATCGCCCAGTTGCAGTTTAATGAAGTTCGACGTGTCGTGTCCAGTGATTCTGGCTAAATACTCTACGAGAGCTGTCTTACCGCAACCAACTGGTCCTTGCAAGCAGATACATTTTCTGGAACCAACAGCTATGGCCAGACTTTGCAAATTTTTCTTCGTGGAAGAAACTGGAACCAAATTATAGGTGCTACTCTGATTCCTGCCAAGAGTGGGCAACAAAATGCCGCCAACAGATACAATAGATGAGATATTTTCAATTGTGTCTTCCATTGAATTAAAGCTAGTGCACATGATACTAGTATCAATGCTCTTGTCTTCATGACCAATTAAAAATCTTCCAAAATTTGGAATGAATGTTTGTGCACATAACAATCTTGTTGATTCAGACATGTTCAAAACTATTGCTATACATTTTAAGGCAATCCTAAAATCAAGTTAACAAATCTGTTACTTTCAAACAATTATAAACAAATAATTAATTAAAATCATCTTAAGATTTACTGCATCTCTTCAGAAAGATAGCTTTTATTATTGAATTTCTTGTAATATACTTACCATTTTACCCTGTCATCTGCATTTGTTAAATACTTGTAAAATCTAGACCAATTCCATTTATGTTTAAAATGGCTAATAGCAGACTGCAAGATATTATAACATGCTACAACAATGTCATATTCAGATACTTCCGAGATGCACAAAAATTTTCTTCTGTTCTGTCTCTTTAAAGGTGTAATTGTATCAATAAAGTTGTCAACAAGTTCGAACGGAGCTGGATTAATATCAAAATAATGTAAAACAAATCTGAAATAAGAAAACAATATTCTATAACATATTATTCTTTGTATTAAACGAAGAATACTAATATTCATTAATAATATTCAAAAATTAAATACATTTAGTCACAAAATTTGAATACTATGTATCATAATACTTTGTAAATCTGTCTCACTCACTTGTATAAGTACATATACAAAACACAAATAAAACTTCTTGTTTATTAATCTCATAGAAATTAAACATATCATAAGTTTTGTCAAAAATTTCATACAATAAACTTATTATTATAAAAAGATTATTACGTAGAGACCTTACACAGCATGGAACAAGCATTGATATCGACATAAAGAAAGACACATCCACTGATATTAATCTGATAAATAGTACATATTAATATAACAAATACATACACTAGTAAATCTTGATTAACGTCAAGCAGCTTTCCTAATATAACGCAGTTCAATCTATGAATTACATCCTTGTCTATTAATGTTGATGACTGCATCTCATCTGTAGAAATTGCTACAGAAACAAGGGCTGGTAATAATTGTGGAAAACACTCGGCAACATCTTTCGTGCATTCAGGTTGCATAAAAAATTCACTTAATAATACTTCTAAAATTGTGTCAGATTTAAGTTCACTAAATTCCTGTAAAAAAATAAATAGATTAAATTTTATATCTACGTCTACTTTATATTAGACATAATTTATTGAAGATTAGAATTAATAAATAATAATTAGAATTAGATCTATACGGGAATGTAACTATAAACATAAAGCATTATAAAAGTAACAATGCTTACTCCAAGAAGCGAGAATCTCTGTTTATATCTCTGATCTCGTTCACAGAAAACTGCCACATTTTCAGTCAACATCTTGTACGATTATACTGGAAAGTTAAACTTAATTATTTGCAAAAATGTTGTCGACAACAAGAACGATAGAAACAGGTTACACGACATGAGAAACACGTGGGCAGAGAGGATCCTGAGAGCGGCCAGCTCGCGATTTAGCTGCGATAGACGATTGAGCTGGTTTCAGCGCCTCTGGAAAGTGGACATTG